TAATAATTTGTGTGTTTTAACTTTTCTTTTACAAGGAACTTCCACGCCGAAGGTAAACTATCAGCATCCCTTGCATTAATACAGCCGTCTCTTAATTTACTCTTATAAATTTCAATTTTTTCATGTTGCAACGCCAAAGATGGGGACCGCAACGTCTTTAGAATAGATGCTTCATTCCATTTCACTACAGACGCCTCCGCTTGTGCCATATTTGACAAAATCGTGGTGCAATGTCCTTTACTAATGTCATATCTGTGTTCTTTAAGCCTAATAGCCAAATTTCGTCTAGTAACCCCAATATAGTCCTTCATAATTCCTAGCTGTTGGTTTTCAAAAGGAATTTTATACACGCCCGCTGTTTCTTCTTTCTTAAGCCTGTCTTTGTCGTTTCTAAGTATACTGTATAAGTTAGGACCTCTTTTGTAAACAATTTTGGATCGTTTTTTATCTGAAATTTGCTTCATGATGTCCTTGATGTTTTTATTATACGTAAATTTTGTGATTTTAAATTGATCTGTTCCAGTTCTTCGTTTCTTTCCTCTTTCATAACTTTTTACTAGCCCTTCAATTGTACTTCTGCAGAAACCCAAATTTGTAGCTACTTCTTTAATTCTGTCTATCTCCTTATTCCTATCCAATCTATTGGAGCAATGAGTAAACGCTCTCCTAATTAGTGCTCGAAATGCTGACATTTTGTATTCATGCGGGTCATTCGAATTAGCTGGTATGTAAAGAGGATTGTGCGTAGGTTTTATGTAAATGCTCGTTGTTATGCCATCTCCTTTTAATTGTATATCTATATCTAGAAAATGTATTCTTTCGTGACTTTTCTGCTCTAGTTTTAGTTTCAAACCATCCTTGTTGGTGTTGTTAATAACCTGTATAAACTCGTGTACTCTTTCGCCGTTTCTCCATATAATGCACACATCGTCCACATATCTTTTGTAGAATACAATATCTTTTTTGAAGCTATTAACAACTTGTTTTTCTAAGTTGCGTAAAACCAGTTCGCATAACAACCCTGACATTGGGCTTCCTATCGGTACGCCTTTTTTCTGTCTGTATACTTGCTTGTCATAGCTGAAGAAGGACTCATAACATATCAAATTGGCTAATTCTTTTAAATCATTCTCAAATGCACCAATTTCTGGTTTTATGCGGAGCATAAATTCGATTAAAGCTTCGTAACATGATTCTATCCTTATCGACGGATACAGGCTTTCAAAATCCATAACGGACCCAACTTCTTCATCCATTAAACTTAACTCTTGCAACTCCTTAACGACAATGGTCGGGTTATTCGCAACAAGATCACTGTTCAATAATTGATCCGAAATGAATCTATGTAAACGTTTTTCCAAAATGTACGTGGGCCCTCTGCATTTCTCCACCACTGGTCTGACCTCTTTGCCTTCCTTATGTATTTTTGCAAAAGCAAATATTCTTGGAATTGCTGGGTTTGGGTTATGCGATCGTTTAAGAAAAGTTAATGCGGAACTTAATGGTGCTCGTTCAAGTTTTTTTACTCTTCTGTCTACGCTTGTGACAATGCTTTTATTAACTCGCTCACATTCTGTTCTTCTAACGTATTCTTCCAAAGCTCTGTTATAGCTTTTTCTTTCCATTATAACCATATGCTTACTCTTGTCCGCTCGTGTTAGGACCAACTCATTGTCNAGTTTCTTTTACTTATGTTTCAATGATTTCAAAATTTTCTGAAGTAAAATTGTCAGTGTTTAGAATATATTTTAACTTTCAAAAATAAGCTTTTATAATATTTTTAATACCATAAGATAACGTTTATTGTTTCTTATCATACATACTTAATTAATCATAATACCAGATGATCAAACAAACTTAGAACTTACAAAAAGTAGCATGAGGAGTTAAGTAATGCTGTAAATTTTGATTCAATGCTGTATGCAAGCAGTACTTGTTGCAATGCCAGCTTGTGGTATTGCCAAGTTTGACTTGTTGTACCACCAAAGTTATTGTTACTTCTTGTAATTTCTATTCTTATTTGATCATCTTGTATAAATGTACACTACAGAATTAAAGAATTTTTGACATCACTGCTAATTTACAGTGAATTAAAGAAAATTGTTTTATTTTGATTTAGACACAGACCATCTAAAATTTATAATAAATACATCTATTTATTTTATGTGAATAAATAAGCGTTATATAAATGTTTTTACCATTAATAAATTAATTTTGATTACAGCTTAGAATACAAGACTCTATTGACAGTGGCATGGGCACCTCGTCTACGCTTTCGACAAAAATTAGTGGATATTCTAAGCTTCAGTCAACGAATTTAATTCGCGTTCCTAGTCTAGACACTCTTAATTCTTGCGATTTTAGTTCTGATGACCATGTTGGTAGAAGAGATTATGGGAATCGTCATCCTCCGTCACCTCCAGTGCGACTTAAATCGAGGTATCTATATTAGATTTAAGCATTGTTTGGTATTGTTTGTTTTATAATAAAGCTAATACTTTTAAATTTCAGTCCGCACGAAGTGTCTTCTAACTATAGCAATGCTATCTGTCAATTAAAAAACAGATTTTCTCCACTTCCATCTATAAATGATATTTATAAATCTCACGGCAACGAAGAGTTAAAAGAAATACAGTACGGGCAACCATCAAGTAACGAAGCCAATCGTTTTGAAGAGAGATGCACAGAAAATCTTGTAGATGAGCATTTTCTGGATGGGCCTGCAAGAGAAATGTTCAATGGAGAACTGGATGCAAAATTATGTAATGGGTAGGTACTACCAGTTATTATAATATAAATACAGTAGAGCGTCGATTTTCCGAAAGTCAATCATCCGAAACGTCAATCATCCGAAAGAATTCCAGTCGGCAAATTTAAATTTTCGCCAGTGCTGTGGCGCTTCAATCTTTGGCTATGTCTTGGGCTACTCAAATATTTTACGTTTTGATACTAAATTAACATCTGAAGTATAATTTTTTATTGTTTTTATATTTTTCAATATATTTATTTTGTTTGTACAAAATAAAAAAATAATTTTTAACGATACAATAGTCTTTGTTAGGCTTAACATCGACAAAAATTCAACGCGAAGCGACACGCAACGGAGAAAAATTTTGACATCGGATACGTTAAACTATTTTTTGTACGTAAATCAGTTATCCGAAATATTAGTTATCCAGACAACCCCAGTCCCCAATTGATTCGGAAAATCGACGTTCTACTGTATAACTATATGATTATGTAAATCAATATTATCTATATTTATGTCAGATTTCTTTTGATGTAAGCAAAGTGTTTTCAATTGTAAGCTTGCAATTTCTCATTCTGATATACAAATGATCTAATTTAAGAAAACAAACAGTAAGATTTTATCTCAGTTTCTCCTACAACATTAGCTTCTTTTGATTTATTTTGTTTGTGTACAGATGATTCACATTTCTGGTAGTGTGTCGACAATGCCAGGCAGAGATAAAATCTATAACAACAAATCCAATAACCTGATTATTAATTAATACGAAATGATCGGCCAGATTATTAAACTACTCTTAATATAGCCTGACAAATCTGGCAGTTTGTTGGCATTAAGAGAGAAAATCTTGCCATTAAAACAAGCAGAAATTCAAAAAATTATTCGCATAAATTTACAAAATGTGCATTTAAGCAGAAATAAAACTTTCAGTTTAGCCACTGTTTTTAAAATATTTTCAAAAATTTTGAATTAAAACTTTGTATAATTATAAACTTAAGCCAGAAATGAAATTAATATTGGTCTGACAATGAGAAGCTGTTTTTAGATCTTAAATTTGGCTAAAGTCTTGCTATTATTTAAGACAGTCGTTGTCAAAGTTATCAGTCTGCAGATCACTTAAACTGAGTTACAGATGAACCATAGACCATATATGTCCTGGTTTGTTTTATCTTGTAACTATCATTTTAGACAGAGATTGTAGGACAAAATATTTTGTCTATCCATTAATGTAATGCAAGCAATAAGATTTACATGGGAAAATGTTTTCTCTGGCTAAATGGCATAGATTGCATTTCAGAAAATGGAGTAGGTCGGCAGGAGTAATTTTGCAGACTATCTGGTGCACCTCGTGAACTGCTAGTAATCCAAGGATGACACATAAACCATTGATTTAAGTCATATTGAAATGTAATCAAATAATTTATAAAAAAATGTAACGAGCACCCATTTGAGAGAAATGGCAGTTCAAGAAAATATTTCAATCGAATGCGACACGTTTTAATTCAAAATTTCCTTAACAGTGAATCTCAGCACTAGTCCTAGAGAGAACAAATTCTGAATGTTCATCAATGAATTTGTAATGAGGTATTGCTGTTTGAAGCACTGTTTTAACTTATATGTATGTTTCTTATTGATATACTAAAGCAGATATGAATTATTTAGATCTGATAAGTAGATTTTGTGAAGAATATAGGTTACCATCAAATAATTACTTTGAAAATTATTTATAAAAATTGAATTTGTATCCATTACTAATAAAATTGAAATAAAAACAGTATTTGTATTTTTCTAACTCAAATGTGCCTAATGAAACCTGTAAAATAAAGCAGTTGCATGCATCAAGACAATGATGTAAATAACAAGCTTGTAAAGCAGGGGTGTCCAACCTTTTTGTTTCTCTGGGCCGCATTGGAAGAAGTCATGGAGTTTTGGGCCACAAGTATATATAATATATACTTGTGGTTCAATATACAAGTATATTTAAGGATTAACATGTCTAGATTATAATAATAAGTATTAAAACTTTATCACGAAATAGGATATTTTAAAAAATTACTTCTACAGTCACTTTCAATTTTTACTTAGAAATAGATAAATTCATTTATTTGATAAAATCTAAATATTTGCTTTATTTGAGTCTCTGATTAATAAAAAGCGACGAAACACCATTTTAAAGTGCATTTTTATTCGACTAATATATTTATAAATGATATGTAGCCCCAAAAGTAGCCAAAGCGCCAAATGATATTTTTTTACGTTAAACTAAAAAAGTAGCCACATTGGCGCAATGTAGCCAAATCTTGCAACGCTGGAAGGAATACTAAATAAAGATGGAGTTTTGACTCAAAGGATTATAGANTTTTTATATCGCCTTATTTTATTATTTATATTAATATGGCTTTAATTTATTTATTATAGTTATTTTGTGTATTGATTGGTTAATTTATTTTACGTTATAATTTTCAATTTATAAGGTTCGAAAGTTCCATTTAACAGAATTTTCAAAAGGTGTTCGACAGCAAATTCACCTGATGATGGCCTATTACATTAGGCTGAAAACGTTTGTGTTTTAATAAATATATCTCAGCGTTATAAGGTGTTCGGCATTTAGAATACCAATTATTATTAAAATGGATAGTTTTGGTGTCTATGTTTACTAGGACTGTTTGCTTATTTTAGTATGTAGTTTATATGTGCAAATTTTCTGATTCGCTCTGTATTCACATACATTAGAGATGATCCTACATTGGAGGAAAGATGACTGATAGATTCTATGTTATGATAAGTAAGGAATAATACATATATACTTATACAAAATGCTGTAGTAAAGATTTTAAAGCATTAGCCAAAGAAAATGTGTAATCAATTTTTCAATTTTGTGTGTAAGTATGAATTGTCTTAGCTCTGTATATGTTGGAACTATCTCCATATCATTTTATGTATAAAATATACATAAACAAAATTAAGCACAAATTAGCTATTCAAAATAAAAATTTAGTTATCTATATGGCTCGATTGCTTTTGAACAAGTCGCCAGCATCTTTTATTCCATTATTTTGAGGTACGACATCAAACTCAAAATCTCAGAATTTATGTATAATTAATCCTGGTATTTTGGAGTTGACATTTTGATCCAGATTCCAGAACTGCAGTTTCTAGTTGGCAGTAAGAGGACAAAATTCATGTCCATTATGGCATGGAGCAGATCTGTTACGGGGTTGTTGGATGATGAGGTTTGGTGTTTGGGTCAACTTTTCCACGAAAATCTGAGAATTTAGACCGATTTTTGAATCTGGGTCCTTAGGCTTTGTTCGTTCAACTGAATGGAAACATTAGATCAATAATTTGTAGTATATATCAAGGGTGGTCAAACCTTGTTACAATAGAGCCATATACCACATATCAGAAATACACGAGAGCCACATCCTATATTGGAATGTTGTTTTATATATAACCCACATACTGTGTGTATAGATATTGTCGCATAGATGAACAGCAACCAGTCGTTAGGAACACAAAGGGGTGTTTATTCACTCAGAGAATGTACAATCACTGCAGCTTGCAGTGCTAGAGAATAATTGTCCTCTACCTGAGAGCTCGCAATTATATACCGTGCAGACATGGTTGAAATATGTAAATGATAACAAATTAACATGTGTTCTCAGACTAGGAGAACATACACGACAAAAGAAAAACCACATCAACAAGGTGTGAACTGGAACCCTTCCATTTGATAGGCGAAGACAGTAACCCCTGCACCATGAATGACACGGTGGGAAAAGTGTGCCGCTGCAATATTAGGCAGAGAGATAGGGATATACCGGTCCAGAAGAGCCTCGGTTTGGCCACCATGGATGTATACAAATATAAAAGAAGTAAAATCTCAACAAAAATAAATTTGTTAAAAATTAAATGATAAAATATTACTTCTATCAATAGAAGAAAATGTAGTGTTTGGATTGATGGAATGATTTCAACAATTCAATAATTACTATGCCAACAACAGTAACATAATATTATACAAAGTAGGGGCAGAAAATAGAGTTCACTGATTCACACTATCTATTTATCTTGACTCCTACTGTAAACGAACCACAGTGTGCTTCTCCCTCTGAGGAAATCCAAACATTCCTCAATAAGCATATCGTTGCTTTATGGTTTACTCTGAAAATTTACGTGCACTTATCCTGTACTTGCAAAATGGAGTTTTCCTAAAGAAATGTCAAAAATGGCTCCAGTTAGTGAGGAATGTTTGGGTTTCCTAGTGAGAAAATCACCCTGTAGAACACACCTCTTCTGCTGAAATATGATCTGTCAAATAAAACCATTTTACAACCATTTTTCTGCATAAAAGTTGTTGCAATAATTATCAAATTGTAGTAATTTCAAGTTTATTTTTTTTTAAATCGGTCACTTAGGCATGTATTTGTAGATATAGAAGCATTAAGAATAAGTATGCTCGTTGCCATAAAAATTAGTATACCAAGGAGTTGTTGTTAGAATAGAACAAAATTGTACATGTATAAGTGTAATGGTGATATAAGTAAGTGATTACAAAATGAAAGCAAAATGATCACTTACTGCAAGAAAAACAACAAATGAGAAGAGGTTCTAGTACCCTGTTGGGCTACCTCTAGCACAAATGCACAATGTGATACGGGCAGACATGGAGGCATATGGGTGCCGTATGGTGTCCTGCGGCATCTTGGTTCACAGTTGCTTCAAAGTGGTTTTCTAGTTTGGCCAAACTTCTAGTCTAGGGTGGCAATGGCCCATGTGCCAAAAGTGGCATATAAGCAGAAATCATCTGTCATATAAGGTATCATATGATTTTGATTTATCACTTGATCTTTTTTTATATTGCTTTTTTACATTTATTCTGATTAGTGTATTAATTTCATTTATTTAGACTTTGAATAATGATATTTAAACTTTGACATGCATAAACATCTTTAACCTTTGCTTGACTGACTTCCAGTTAATGTGTATTTTGTGAGTTGACCAAAGTATATCTATTTCTAGTT